TCCATTGCGTAGTAAACGGAAAAAGCAGTATTGTTATATCTTTTGGTTAATATTGATTTCCTATTATTATAGATTCTCGTTATTACAGAATTTTTTGTAACATCATATTGTTTCACGGTTTTCGTCAGAAAAATTTCATTAAAAATATTTTATATTTTCTACATAAAATATTTGAATTTTAAAATTGAAAATAACTATTTGATAAACAATCAGTTAGATAGATGATAACATTTTATATGTCGCGCACATTTATTTATAATTGTGTTAAAATCGATTATTTGAAATCGATATTTTCACATATCTTTAATTACAGAATTTGCAAGTCTGATTATTTTCTTTTTTTTTTACGAGAGCTTTCTTCAAGACGTATGCATGGAGCGTAGTACGCTAACGCTAAACGACTTTTACTACTTGACCAACAATCGTATTGTCGTCACGAATAACTTTATCAATAAAATCTTATCGCTGGAACATTCATGATTTATTTACTTGAGGCTACATCAGGACTTTATCGAGTAGGTGCGAGGTACGTGACGTTTCTTCGGCAGATTTTTATAGCCGCCCAGGAAATTCTCCGGTGATTTATTTTACATCAGCCCTGCACATCGTAAAGATCGCCCGTTCGCTCGCTCGCAGGGCAACGTTCGCCAAGGCGACAGTGTAACGCCACTTACTGAACATTCAATTGAAATGCGTTCGCACGAACAAGAAGTATATCTTTCCGTTAGTACTGGCTTCCCTGTTTCTGGCAGCCGGACGACGAGCGAAAATAGATGTTCCGCCCAATTCCCTTTCGTGACCGTAAGATTCTATTACTGACGTGGGTCCGACGAACGTCCTATTAATCACGCGAACCCCGTTTTTTCTCAATTACATGGCGATAAATTGTCAGTGTCCATATCTGAGACATGATTAATTAAAATTAACAATTTCTGGACGATGTAATGAATTTTATCGAATATAAAATTAAAAAATCAGTTTTTATATCATAAGAAATATTATTACCACAGAAAATTTGCAAAAATGAGATCTGCAATTACTATTCAAATTATTTGATATACTTAATATATGTAAAATTGTGCATTTATTATATTTTTATAATATTACGGTAATCTTACGACAGTCTATACCAGGTTTATCTAAGATTACTCGTGAATACTTTTCTCTCTTAATTGCCTCATTAAGAAAAAATAGATGATAAAAATATCTCTCTTCTATTCACAGACCATCATATGTTTATTTACGGCTACAAAGCATCTACACACATTACACCTAATCTAAAATTATAGATTTGATAATTATAGAAAATTCATTTATAATTAATATTCATGTTTGCATTGTATGTGCTAAATTTAGTTAGAAGAGATTATGATGTCATGAGCGATTTCGAATAAATAAAAATCCCTTTGAATAGGCTGTTATCTGCTATTAACATTAACATTTTTATTAAAATTGTTTATTTTTTAATTCTAATTGAAACCGCAATTCTACTAACGATAGTCAATTTATTTTATCGAAATATATCTCCTACAAATCCGAATGCGAAAATCCAATTTCCTTAAAAAGCATAAGCCATTCTGTCCCACAAATTAACTTCTTCTCTCACACAACATCGAATAAATATTTCGAAAGCGAACATCAGTCTGCACGACGGCGCTACTGCAGAGCGAGAAAAGTTTATTTCCACGATTCGTCGGAGCGATGAGGACGATTTCTTTCGGTAACTTCGTACCGTCATCCATCGCGCGAAATATCCTTACGCCCTTATCTCCCTGGGAGGAGTACCGCAATACCATTCGACGTGAATGTGTCCCAGCGTATGTGCAACTGTATGTGCGTTTGAATCGCAAAAGCACGCGAAATTCCGCGAAGCTCTCATCGACGTTACAATAACCGCAATATATCCGGACGCGGGGCTGTTTCTTTGCGATACGAGAACGTCGACGCGGGACCTTCTTGCGGGAGGGCTGCGGGGGAGGAGAAAGAGATGAGACGACGGGGATTGTTGGATGCGACCTAGTAAGTGGGTGCCGGCGACGGTGGCGGTGCAACAATGGCAAAATATAAATCTAAATCCCAACCGCTATCCTTCCTGCTTTCTCGTCCCCGCGCCCGCAGCACCTTTATCTTCCTCTCTCGTCTATTCCATGTACCTCCAACGACGACGACGACGACGACGATGCTTCGTTGTCCTCGTGGCCGGTACGCGGTCTTTATCCTCGCCCGAGAATTTCTCTTACGCCATTCAGCTCTTGGCCTCCATCGCGCTTTCCTACCTCTTTATGCCATTCTCGTCCCGTGCCTCTGTCTTCCGCTTTAATTCGCCTTACGCAGAGTTTCTTTATTCTCGGACCACTTTGAATTTTATCCGCGTACGAGTCGTTCCGACAAGATAATGGACGACAAGTTAAACACGAGATAAAATAAGAGGGAATGCACAGCGTAGTGAATGTTATTTTTTTATCTACATTCCTATAGAACGCATTTTAGCCTTGTATTTTGCGTTTGACTTTTGTAGTCGAAGTTTTAGGAATTTTGAATATGACTTTTGTCATTTTTTTACATTGGAATCGTTGACAATTTTTATATTTATTTTTACGTAATTCATATAAATTTTATTTACCAAATTTTTGATAAAATAACATGCATATCAAACTTGAAATCTTGGTTACTTTTGGAATAAACATTTTAATCATGTTATTGCCAGATGCTATCTACATTTTACAAAATTAAATGTTTTTATAGATATTTTTTCTTTATTAACAAGAGAAAAGTTATGCTTTTAAGATTTATAGTTTATAAGCTTAATTAAATGGAGAAATATTATTTAATATTGTTGTTTTCATTTCCATTAAATGTAAAGATATTTCATCTTTTTCAAAATGTACAAGTAAAAAAATTTGCAAAACTAGCGACGCCATGTTTTGCTTTCGTTATCTCTGTTTTTCGACAACTCTTACTTGTAATTTTTCGACCAGAACCAGAATTAATTTCACATAATAAATTAAGGCGCAATATAAAATTTTTGTAACGATTAAACCTCTCATCTCTCATTGCGGTAAGAGTTCATTATTTTCATTGTTAAGCTCCGTACATATTGTTATGTCATATGACGCTATAAGATGTGATTTGTACGCATGAAGCTGTGAAACTATTATCTCGGACATTTTTGAGACCATTTCCTCAGACTAATTCCTCTTTTCTGATTTATCCCGCATATCTGCTCTCCCTCTCTTGCATCTCGCTCTAGTCTCTTTCACTTCCGTTTCTTTCTCCCAGTGGTACGTGTCACGAGTCCTCATTCTTCTTGAGACCGTCTCCTCTGCATTCAGCCTTTCGCGGTCCCGCACCTTCTAGTGATTTCCCACCGGTCTTTCATTTTATTTCACGCTTCCGGCACTTCCGTCCACTGGTATTTACTTACTATTAACAAAACACGCGAGCGTTATGCTTTATCACTCTCTTCAATATTTATCCTTCATCCATTTTTGCCGACTCACTTACTGCACGCTGCGCCCGTTGCAAATCCCTGGGAAATTTTGCCCGCAAATTTCGCTATTTGTTTATTTTTATTCCTATCTCCTCTATCAAGGTATCGTCTGATCTGATTTTTCTTCAGGCTCTCGTATTTTTTACTCTGACATTTAATCTGATTTCTTCTTTGTCTTAACAATCTTTATTCTGACGAAGCGTCTTCTTATTCTCCTTCGCACTTGTCAACGATTGCTTTCTATTCATTTACATCCTTTGATCTCGTCGTCTCGAGCTTTTTGTTTTCTCTCAGTCGAATTTTCCTTCTAGCTTCTTATTATTCTGCTCGTCTTTTTTTTTTCGAAGGTTTGTATACCAAGGCTCTACCTCGGCATTTGCGTCGCTTTTTCCGTATTTTTCCAATTTGCCTGAAATCGTTTTCTTTCTCGCCCGCGATCGGCTTTTCCCCATGCGTCCTCCTTTTCTCAGTCGCTTTTCTTCGCTCGCGCGCGGTTTATTCGCCGCGTCGGAATACTCGTCCGTTTTAATTTTCTCGGGACTCTTTTGCTTTTCGTATTTACCCGCTTTACTCAAACCGCGTCTTATCCACAAGCACTCTATTTCTGCGCTTCCACACTTTTGGAGATTTTTCTTCTTCGATTTGTGCTCTCCTGACTCATCATTCTTTTCTCTCTCTCTCTTTCCTCCGCGTCTCTTGTTACGTTTCACTCGCTCTCTTCCAATCACTCTAGTTTTTTGATCCATTTATCTTAAGTATTTATTCGTTTCTCCTTTTTACCGGTGCTTTGTCCTCGCATTTGTTTCTCTCTTTTCTTTCATCGTTCTGTGTTTCTCTTGGCGCCAACAACGTCAAGGCTTTGCATTTATTCTTTCCCTCATCCACTTCGCGCTGCTCTACCTTTACCGATCTCTCTTTCTTATTCTCTTTCGATGACGACACACTATCTGTCTGTCTCCAACAAATATGTGCTCTCTTAACTCTCGCATTTACGAATCGAACGTTTTATGTACTTCTTTCCTCGTCACTACGTTCGTATAAATTTTATATCGCATTCTAAATGTCCATCAACGCGTCGAAAGGGTGCAACATCTGTCGGATAATCATGTAGGATAACGCTCACTTTTTTTTTATTCAACAAACATTTTTAGTCCGATTTAACATCCCGATCTTCTTCCTCGTTTAAGTTGTTACAACATTCTACAATATTTTGATTATAATTACAAAATTCAAAAGAATAGAATTATTGATGCAAGTTAACAAAATGTTGTGTTGTACAATCAGTATTTTATTATTTTTGTTTATTTTAAAGAACCAATTTCACAAAGCTGGTAAAGTCGATAAGCATTGGTTATATGCAGCCTAGTACAATATATATATTTTAATACCATGTTTTTTTTTTTTTAAATAAACGGCTTACACAAAAAAAGCAGCGTTCAATTATGGGATATATTTTAGCGTTTGATATCAAATATTTGTCATATAAAGCGTGTATGTTTTTTCTGTGCAGAAACCGATTGGAGAGCAATACGGAACATTGGAACGCTTTGCTGCTATCGTTGCGCGAACTCATCGAATGGGTGATAAGGAAAGATACAGAGCTCACCGGCTTGGGACCCGTTTGCGGCGATGTGGCTGCACTGCAAAAACAACAGGTAAGTCTCTCCCACCGTCTTACATATAGATTATTTAAGTTCCGCTTTGCGTTGAACTTCAGTTAGCTTGTGTAAACCTGCAAAAGTTTGCGAGTACTTTCCTCGGCGTATTCGTTATCTTCGTGAGACTGGCATACTCCATTTAGCATCCTCGGTTTGCGGTAACCTCGAACTTCGGGATTCAAGCCGAGTTACCCGAATATGACTTATGTACCTAAAATCGATTTCATACAGCCGTCCTTTGAGAGGCTTGCGAGTTTCCGCCTCGGAAACTGATTGGACGCATAGAATGCAATTACGCATAAGCTCATGTTCTATCAAGCGAGTGTTCAACTGTCGCTGTGAGACACGACAGTTCAACCAGATTGGTTATTTATGCATTCTCATCACGTTTGAGTATTCCGCTTTGCGGAAGTGCACGTCTCGATTACTTTGCTGCTCTCGCGTCAATTGTTCGCTAAATGCTTCATTTAAATTCACCACCGATTAAATTAATTTCCGATTAATTAAATCTAATTTAATTAAAATATTATTTATTAATTTTGGGATATCTTTAATATAATATAAATGTTATTCTCCACTTTTCTTATGATGTATTAAAACCGTTGATTAATTTTTTTTAAATGTATCAAAGCTACGAAATTACTCTTAATTCTACTAAGCTTTTCTTATTTTTTTAACATTAAATATGTATAATTTTCTCTCTCTCTCTCTCTCTCTCTCTCTCTCTCTCTCTCTCACACACACACACACACACACATTCATACTCACACTCATACTCACACTCGCATACCCACTCAAATTGGACATATCTGTACATACACATTGACGTAGCTGCGTCAATTTATGCGTGAATATCCTTCGCACGATAGCATACAAAGGCGCACTAGTTCGGATTAATCCAGATTAGAGCACGCATGTTGCCGGCATGCAGAAGCGCCTTTGCCATCTATACAGGTAGTATCCGAGTGTACAGGAGTGATAAGCTGCATGTCTCTCGACCAGATCATTGATGTCATCATGCGGCTAACTCTATGCGTGTATTTGTCAGTCGCGCCGTAGAATACGGGAAATTGATATTGATTAACCTTGATTAGTGAAGCGAAAGCTTAAGGCACTGAACTATATATTTATTCGATGCTTTCAGATGCATCTCTCGTAAATATAGTTGATTTAAAAAGCAACAGAGAAATTATACATATGTATTAATTTATCTCAGTTATATATTTAACAAAAAAACACGTATTTTAACAGCATACATTTTTTGTATTTTTTACCGGTTACAATAATAAAATGGACAAACTAGAAGAGAATGGAAAAATAGTTTCTTTAACTCTCAAAAACATTTTTCTTTATTTTTTCTAGATGTACAATTTCAACATTATTTCTTTAGAATATTATCATTATTTTTTAATGATTTTGAAATATTATGATATTAAATTTTGAATTTGCAAGAAAATATTGCAACTGTCAAAAATTACATTGTAAGATAATACTTTAATCAAACAATTATTTTTATTGTTGTAGTAGAAAAAAAACAACGGTTTTCTAATTTTGCTATGCATAAAATTTAAATATTTTACTTTAGAAAAGTGATTCAAGCTCGCAATTATGTTGCAACCACCTTTATTTGTTTGCGATTTGCACGGCGCGAAAGCAGCAGCTGTTGCACATGCATTCTCTGCATTTCTTCAGATTCGCATCAAGTACGGAATTTAAACTCTTAGTCTACAACACGAGGTTACCATATTCGACGACATAATTGTTTATCCGACTTGTCTGCAGATTCAATTAAGTTTACCCGACCATTTATTTCGAACATTGGTACTCTTCTCATTGTCAATAGCTATCTCTTAAATCCATTAGCGAAACAATATGCGAACTCATAAATGAACGGCATTCCTGTAATTATCGTCCATGAGATTTGTCGCGAGATTATCGCCGCTGTTTGAAATTTGGTACGCCATCGTCGCATATCGGAAAGGTGCGAGTGTATATGCGGTTTATGTAAATTGATTATGTACGTGAATTCAATTGAAACGCCTCGCCGGTAATTAATAAAATCCGCCCGCATGCATATGCATCGATTCTAAATAATTCCGCAGATATCCTAAACATATTCTCGTGCGAAAATCTAGAACGCTCACTCCGAGCGATTTTAATTACGTCACTAATTTCATTAACGGTTGACGTTGAAAATACAGCATCTTTCTGGCACAGTTAAATTGCACTCGCTATCAATAGAAGCTGCTCTGCACCTACGTCTTTTGTAATAGAAGCTGCTTTATTAGATTAACGGAAAGTATCGGATATAATAATAGAAGTAATCACTCGATGCTGATCTAAGTCGTGACATTTGAAGAGCTATCGAGTGTAGCGATTGACGTCGCTTCTAAGAATTATTTTAATAATCGGGACAGATTGAGTACTATTAATCAAATCACCCTCAAGCTGAAGATAAGCCTCCCTTTGCTGGAAATGACATTATCTCAAGGGAACTTCAAGATTAATCCAATTGCAGGCAACTAATGAACCAGAGAGGAGCAAGTGCGACGTATGCAACGTTGACTAATGGCACAACAATAACAGCACGACGCTTATGACACGATAATTCTATCCGCGTTGCTTTTATCAATAATTAATTTATCATGGATAATTTATTATCATAGAAATATTTTTTTTTTTTTGCAGAATTTAATATTTTTATTTTTTGTAGAATTTAATATTTTTTTAACTTTTTGCGTTGAAAACATTTTAATGGCCCAATAAATTATTATTATGTCAATTGCATTCTAGTCACAATAATGCTTATACATATTAAACACATTTTTTTTAAATAAATGTGCACAATGTTGCTGCATAAAAATTAGAAATAATTCGCAATACATGTGGCAAAGTGATCGCATTCGAAACTATCCATCTCTATATCGAAGTCTAAACGAGGGGCGCGTAATTAGAAGAACGTTTATTGCGTCCACGCAATCGGAATGAAAGCCGATCGCGCGCAGTTAGCTGCCGTTGCTACGATGGTATAACGAGCGCGACGGTCATTTCTCTTACAGTGAGCGTACGCGAGCCGTCCTAAAAATTCTATTCGCCCGCGAGCGCGCCGATCGATTCCAGCCGTCGCATAAAATCGCGCGCGGCTGTAAACGGCGTTGTGTAACAACCCCGGCGACGAGCCGTTTACGACGACGGACGCGCGCCTACGTTTTACGTATGCGCTTTTCGCGCGCGCGTATATAGCAGATAAATCAAAATTGCCGACGCTACCGCGTTCACGCAAGGCCGATCGAGAGACATATCGATTCGCGACACCCCGATGGATTTCGATTTCACGTCTGGAACACGGTTGCGGTAAAACGCGCACATTTTTTTTTAAATGGGTGTACGCCTGTTTTTTGCGGATCTCATCTTTCCCTCGGCGCATCTGCAGCACGAACAATTGATACTTTCGTCTCACCTTGCCATTGAAATTTTCACTTTTCGCACTGAGAACAATCGTGTTCGGAAATTGTTTTTTGGGGAAACACTCTGGCCGAGTATCAACCATCGGCATTTATGTCGGTGTGTTTCTTTCGGCTTGGAAAAAAACTCGGGTCTCTTGTCGCGCAGAGATATCTCGAATATTTACGAAGAGATCTGTCGACATTCTTAGCTCATGAAACATTTAATGTTTTCCTCTGACAGATCATATAACATCGATTAGTACAGGATTCGTCCATGTGGACGGATCGTGGATAGAAAATTAAAAAAAAGATATGTTTTTATCAAGAAAGTCAATTTAAGAGATTAATGAGCACGACCCTTGGAATTGATTTAAAATTGATCAGAGAAATGATTACTCCACGTTTAAATGTTTATTTTCTGATGCACAGCGCGTATAAAGTGAAGGGTGGAAAGATTTTCTCCGTAAAATTATGCAATGCATTTACCTTAAAACAATTATCATTTGTTATGCAGTTATGGAATGTGAAAAGAGCAACTTATTTTTTTCGTAGAATTCTAAAATAAAATTATTTTGAAATAATAAAGTTTAATGTCTCCGTTATTTTGTTATTTTCGCAAAATGTGAGATTAAAAAGATTTTTTTCTCTACGGAGTCGTATAATGAAATTGTTTTGAAGCAATTTATCTCTCTGGGGATGATAATAGCACGAACCACTGGCATCAGTTAAATGCTGAAGATTCTTAGTGTCAGATGCTCATACATTATCATGATACACATCAGTGCATTGTTGCTGTATGTACCTCGTAATTAACCCCTCGTAATGATAACCTCATTGATAAGGGAAATCGCCGTCTTGCTGCTAGCAATTAGAAAATGTTTTACATCTAATTGGATACACGATTCTGATATATAGTCGTTCTAATTTCTTTATTGACGCCTTGACCCGCGGTTAAATACATGTCATGCGAAGATTTCCGTGTAATTTATAACGAGAACATGAATGCGATCAATTTATTTGTAACGTTTTTATTGCTGCCGTAAAATTTTTAATTCTACGAATCATAATTAATTACATTTTTGTAAAAAAAAAGAAAAATGTGATCTACATAAAGTAATGATCTAGTCCTTCTAACGGAAGAAAACCTTGGAAAAGAAAACTGTACAATGAGAATTACGAGAGCGCAAGAAAAAATAAAAATCGCGTGCAATGAGAATTCTATCACTCATCGCGCGCTACGTCATCATTTTTCGAAATGAAAAGCGAAGAAAAATATAAGAATGATTAATGACCGATACGAAATCTCTTCTGTGTGTAGAAAAACTTAACCGACTATTTATTATAACAATATATATAATGTGCTTCATCAATTTATCTTCTAGCAGATTATATCTTCTGCTAGATTTCTTCTTCTTAAATTTTCTATCATTGTTAAACAAGAGGTAGTAAATAATTATGCAAATCACGATGTAAATAATTTTTATGTGACATTTAAACGTAGATTAAAGATCTAATTATTAATTTTTTGATACGGCCAATATAAGAGCACAAAAGAATTGCTATTAGCTGACGCGCTATATTGACGAATATTAAAACGACAACTACGTTCTGCATGTACGTCTTTTATGTTGGAAGTTTATTGTTTTATCATTAATAACGATACGTAGTATTATTTTGACAACTCTGTTTGTTAGTTCTGTATTCGCTGATTACGAATTTCTCTCTTCCGCTTCTTTTTATCCTACTCTATGCGTCTTCACACAGCTTAATTTTTTACAATCTTCCGTTATATTTTGTTTTTTATTTTCGTGGTAGTATATCAATATTCATCTTATATTTCCACGAATAAATTAAAATTACAGTTTGTTGAGTAGATATATTTAGCTTGTTATTCGAGATAAAATTGTATTAATTTTACATGTTATTTCAGCTGCATCTTTCGGAGTGCGAGCAAAGAATAAATATTAAAACAAGAAAATTATCGCGTTGGTTCAGAGTTTGTTATTAAATTTAATGCATTTATATTTCTACGCTGTAATATACTGTTAGTAACTCACTAAATTTATTTTTTTCTTTATAAATTGGACAATTTTTAATTGTTACATAGTAAACAAATATTATTATAACAGTAGCGTTTTAGAAATACGATGTACGCACGCATTATTTGTGAATAAATATAAGAAGTTTTATTCGAAAATTGAGACTTTAGTATAATATATCTGACAAGCCTAGATAAATATTTATCTCGGATAACTAATTTGTGAAGTATCATTGATTAATTACAAAAATAAAATTGATCGGCGTCCTTAATTGTCTAACGTAAATCAGAATGGCATGTATATGTGCCACAATGACAATAAATAGGTTAAATCAAGAACAATAACATAATGTACGCTTTTATTTATTTTGAGACAGTTTTATATCATGTCATTATTTTCCCAATCGATTTGTAAAAGCATGAGTGAATCCATGCTCCTAAAGAAATATGTGATTTTATTCTTAAAAAAAACAATTGTTTTTTACCAGCGATGATACAACGCCCACCATAGTTTGCATTAAAATACGGAAAAAAATCACACGAAATAATATCAACGCAAGGTTGAAAAACAAGACGTGAAGCCGCTTAATCTGATGTATATACACGCGTTATTAATAATGCTTTAATACATAAAATTGAATCAAGTTTTAACAATGCGAACGCATTGCCTCTGTTTAAGTATTTGTACATTATGATTCAGGATTATATTTGGCAATTTGCCATTTCTTAACATTTTACATGTACAAAAACTTAAATTTGTAAAATTAAAGTATTAATATTATACATTAGCTCATAGAATAAATAAATTAATAGACAAAAATGTGATTTTAGATTTTTCACAAACACTCATGACGAACGAATATGTAGACATGATGCACCTGTCCTAAATAGTCAAAATTTGATGCAATTTTATATATTAAGGCATTATTGATTTCGTATATGCATTAAGTATATAAAATATTGAATGTGAATTGAAATCAAATCAGCGACATTTATTCGCTTATGTTAACGACTACGAAAATGATCTCTAAAAATTATCTACTCGTACGATAGTTAAAAACTTTTTACTCCGCATTCAGCTTGGTTGCGATAAATTTTCTTTTCAGAATAATATAAAAAAAGAGAAGCTAAATAAACACACTATCCGGGCGTCTTAAAGCGTAAAAAAAATTCGCAGCATCTTGCGCGTAGCAAACCCTTAACTTCATGAACGATGGGAGATAATCTCGTTAACTAGGAGGCGTGCAATATCGTAAGAGTGCTTTTTTACTCACTCGACTTTTTTTCGTTGACTGCAGCGAGCTAATTTTCAACCCCGCTGTAGCGTCCTGTCAAACGCAATAACGGATGCATACGTTGATGTCCCTGCGCCGCAATGCATTTGATGGTATTGCATCTCCCCAATGTGAAGATGTGTTACCATTTAATTTTAATCTCGTGTTATTTCATTATTTCATTCAAAGATTTCATATGGATATGTTTTTTCTCATTGTTTAATTTCGACAAGTACGTTTATGACTAAAAAAATCAAGCACATTACAAGAATTTTGGATAATTATTTTTCTTTGTATCTGTGTAGTAATATTTAAAAAAATTTTAATATGTTTCTTTTAAATTAGTTAATATAATAGAATTTCTTCGCAATGCTGTCGAAAGCAACGGTATTACGACGACGATGTCGTGGCACTGACATCGTCTACGATTTTGAGCTACTTATCATAGCAAACAGACGAATTTAGTCGAAGTTGACCTCTTAAGGCCTCTTCGCGCAGCAGCGAAAAGTTGGACGCCAAGGGAAAACCTGGCACTGCACCAGACACCGATGCTCCTTGTCTCGTTATTTTTGTTTCACGATTTACGCGTCTCCTTTGCAGGACGACCATCGTGGCTTCAGGAGGCAGCTGGAGGACAAACGGCCGGTCGTGGAGAACAATTTGCTGAGCGGCCGCCAGTACATCGCCAATGAGCCTCCGCTGTCGGACACTTCAGACTCCGAAGGTACGTAAATTACGAATTACACGTAAATTGTGAATTGTGAATTTTTACTCGTTAAATTACGGTTAACAATTTAATATCCATAAGTATAATTATATTATATTTCATAAAACCGTCGCTAAAGTATAATCGACAAAATAATTAATTATTTACGAAATAAAATTTTATAATACGTTCCATATGACTTTGAATTAAATACTAGAATAATAAAATTATTGGAAATGCTTTTAGGAATATATCATGTTTCACGAACAAAATATTATTTCTAAATAGTAATTATCTTAAATCTTTGATGATAAATCTTGGAATATTTTTTATGATATTCTTTTAAGCTTGTGTTTTTTTAAAATTAGTTTCGTATGAGACCGTCAAAATTCAATATCATCCATTTCGCGCGAACGAACACATCTCTCTAAAGAACAAAGAAAGTCGGCCAAGTACATTCGTCGTTAGTTCCGTGAAACCACTTCTTGCGGTACGCAAGACTGAGTTCACCAATAGTGCGGGCACAGTAATTAAGTGCACTTTTCAATCCCACCAATTTGCGCTTTCATTCTTGCATCCGTAATTTTTTTACCAATTACCGGCAGGGAGGCAAAGGCCTCTCTCTCGTCGAATTATCGGTTTGGAAGAGAACACAGGGTATTTCTTCTTTTTATTTCCATCGCCTTTAGAGTTAATTAATGAATACATAGTTGTTACTTCCATTGTCCTTCTACTGCTAGTTTTCAGTGATGTTATCTTGAATCTGTGAGGATACACTTATCAATTAATACTCGAAATCAATTCCTTTTTATTACAGTGTATGTAAAAAATATATTCCAAAAAATATAACATAAAAATATGAAACCTAATATTAGAGTGAGCTATGAAGCCAAATTCTTGATGTTTGGTTGCAATAGATTTGATCCTCCAATATTTATTATTATTTAATATTATCGAGGTATGTATTAAACTATTGCCTATGACTATTAATCGAAATGTATGTCAATATATAAAAATAAAGAAAACATAGCATGAACAGCAAGCATTTGGCTTCATAGCTTACTATATTAGGTTTTATATTTTATCAGGGCTTATAACATTATTAATTTTATAACATAAAAATATAAGTATTGAATCAATCAAAAAAAATTCTGACATTTCTTTCTTAAGCTATTGATACGATATTTTGTTGAAATTAACAAAATTTTTTGCGAATTGCACTAAAAGTGTATTAATTTGATCGTAAAAAATTTTATTATACTTTTCGCATTCCTTCGTAAAAACTCACGAATTGTGTTTTAATAATTCACATCTTTTCTCTTGAGTTCGTGAATTTTCGCGCCACTTGTGCCGAGAGCAAGAATCCAAGAACAACTACCGATTGTGCTCGTTCTGAGATTTCCAGACTGGAAGATTCCGAGAAATATTTTGCGTTTTCTTTCTTTTTTTTCTTTTTTTTTTTGGCTCAGCAGCCTAACCCGCGAGACCAGAAACGAGCTTCATTCTTTATCGTCGTTTCTTTTCAAGCGCGGCAAGGGCAAGGAGCGCGTAACTGCGACGGCTTGAATATTTCATTTACGTAATCCTACCGAGTCAAAAGCGCGAATATTAAAAAAATTTGAGCTGCAGATATTCAATGCGAAATGCGAGAATTATTTTTATTTATTTCACGGATTTACGATGAGACATAATATACCAAAAATCAACCATAAAAATAATGAACAGATGGATCGTGATGTAAAATACAGGAAGAAAAATATTCCGTCGCACATAAGATGTGGTTCAAATTCAATTTTTCGTTCTTATATTTCTCATCTTTAGTTATCTTTTTTCTAAATTTTTTTTATCTTTTTACTAGAAATTCTAGCTATCAATTAAAGGAACCAAAATAATTGACACACTCACATAATAGAGAAAATACAATTTCCATTAACAGTCTAACTCAATAGTCTAACTTTCATAATTAAAATATACACTGAAATGTACCAATAAAATCTAGATTCTAGTGTGAAATCAGAGAATTAATTTTTATGATCCTTATTGATTTTATTGATAAAAATATGTTTTAATATACGAGAAAAATTCTATATTTTATTAAAAATACTTACATTATAAAGCTAACTTTATTTTGAATTTTATTTACAATTTTCTTTTTGCAATTTATATTGTGAATGATCTTTTGTGTGATGTAACATGTGTAATTGCGCAGGTGTCTTTTATATAACCATTGTGAACGATTCTTTTCTCTCGTACAGCATCATGTATTGTATCATAATATCATTTCAAGTATTCGACTCGGAGATAAAACTTCCAGCCGGCAGTGTTAACGTGACTCTATCGGGAACCGATATGAAGGGTTTCGAGAGCCAGTTATAAGTATTGTATATACTTTTCAGTTTTCATTCTGTGTCGGCAATACTGAAAGCCGTGAAATTTAGACGAGATGTTTTATGCATATCGCGTCGTCCCTGATTGAATAAGAACAGGAAAAATGAAGGAAAGTACTAAATAATACATCAAGATAAATCCGACTTTTTTATTCATTCGCGATCAAACATGTGGAGATTTGCTCTAAATCATTTTAATTAAATTTTTGAATATGAATGAAATTTTAGTATTAAATAGTATTATAAATTTAACATAATAAAGATTGATTTTTTAGATTCTTCGTCTAATTCTATGCTTTTCAACCGGGTCAATTATTTTTTAATATATAGTCTAGATATTGTTGAATACTAAAGAATAGAAGTGCTAATTTTAGTCTCTTATAAGCTGAAACCATTTTGAGAATCTCATTATGAAAGTATTTATGTAAAGGAAATTAATATATTCACATTCTCTTTTCGTAATAATCTAGAAACCTATGTGAAAGCAAGTCAGCCTTCATATTTCTTCATATTTGTGCTTTATTTTTTAAAAGTTTTCCAAGTTTATAAATATAATGTTTTTATTTAATTTTTGTGAGAGAACAATTATTTGTATTAAGTTGGTTAAAAAAAAAGTAACTTTGACTTTGTAAACGCAAGTTCGTCGCAAATCACGTGGGGTTCTCAATCGAGTTACGAATATCGTAGTACATCAGTGCCGATGGAAGACGGAAATTTTAGAAGAGACGTCCCCGAGGAGAACCGGAAACTTGTACATAGAACTCGCTGAAATCCCGGAGGAAGTACGACGCGGAATAGCACTAACACGTTTCTCTTTTTAACCTGCGTAATCAGTCAATACAGAATACTTACTTTTGAATAGTTCATTATTGAACACAGATGTCGGCTATTATTATTAAAATCGGAATAACTATAAAGTTTCCGTTGCAACGAAACTTTCCGTATATGCCAATCGATTGCGTTTAAATGACCAATTATTTATGAAATATGTGAAAGCGTGTGGAATATATAATGTTTTTATTGCGATCTTTACATAATAAATAACTTTTTAATAACGAGAAGTAGTGGGAAGAGGTTTTTATAGATTATTAGTAAGTATATGCATACACGATTAATGATGTGCAAATTGTTCGTTAATCTTCATTGGAATTATTCGATGAGTTTTGAATGAACATATCGGCTTAGTAATAATGATTATCGTTTATCAGAATATTGCGCAATTGATGCCAAATATTCAGATAGGCAAAATTATAACAACCAACAATAATTTAAGCTGGTTTTGACGAAAAATTCATTAGTCTCTGTCAAAATGTGATTTAATTACTTTCGAAGTATATCCGCACTGTTTATTAATGTTAGTGTTATCTATACGATAGAGATTCAATGCGGGATTAAATTGCATTCAACATTAACAATTAATAAAATCAATATCTTTATTTAAATATATATAATATACATCGATATTTATTTTTTTTTAATTTTCTAAATGTGAAGAGTAGAAATCCAGTCATATTTTTAGTACACTTCTCGTACTTTATTCAATCATTTCTTGAGATAAAATGTCATGTCACCCGTGATATTTTATGATAATAAAATTTCACGGGTGACATGGCTATTTATTAAATATTAATATTATTATTAAAGTTATATACGATACATTAAGTCATTGTTATATTTACGATACTAACAGAACGACTACTTGCCCGTTACTCAAATTGTTACTTGCCGACGAATTGTCTCATCGTCTCATCGTATCGCTTCATCTACATACAAGAAACATGCTCAATGCTGTTAGCTACGGTCATTGTCATTCAGAGTGCCGCATGTAATATTCGACATAAGATTCCGGAATAACCGTAACGATAGCTTCGCTCCGCGTACAACGGATTTG